TCAAGAACAGAACTCGGTGAGTTCAAGGCAAATCCCAACTGCATGAAGACGTACTCGACGAGTTCATAAGGAACTGGGCGAGTCCATGGCTAAATATGCCTTCTTGCATGAAGAAGGACTCGACGAGTTCAAGGACGAACTCGGCGAGTCAGTTGTTGAAGGTCCCGACTTTGCATGAAGTAGAACTCAACGAGTGCGTGCAAGACTCGGCGAGTAGGATCGAAGTCTTAGTGTTTTGAGGATTTGGGGACTCGGCGAGTTGCTGGGTTAACTCGGCGAGTCGAGTCAACCAGACGTTGACTTTGACCAAGGTGTTGACCTTGACTTTGGCTTTGACCCGAGTAACCCTTGTAGCGGTTGAGAGTATGTAATGGTAAATTAAGGAAGGTTGTTACGTGTAGGAATTGAGAGGAGTTGATCCCGACAACAAGGACAGTTCAGACACTTCACGACATTGAGGTGAGTTACCTTCCGGTAGGAGTGGGTCTAAGGCCACAATGTCGGCCTACTAGTAGGAGCTTGTAGTTAGACAATTGTATGTGTGATAATTATTCGGTTATGGCACTATCTGTTACGTTCTATGTGCCAGTATACTATGATTCTATGTGATAGTGGTAGGTGGTGAAATAGTCCCCGGTATCCGGTTGAAATAGACCGAATGGGAGGCCAGCACCCATATATGCTAAGCAGTCATCCGGTTGAAATAGACCGAAGGGGAGGCGAACACCCAGATATGCTAGGCAACTATCCGGTTGAAATAGACCGAAGGGGAGGCCGACACCCAGATATGCCTGGCGAGATATGTTATTGTATGATATGCGGTATGATGGGGGAACTCACTAATCTTCGTGCTTATAGTTTTCAGTTTTGTTTCAGGTACCTCTTCAGCGAAGGGGAATGAGCCGACTAGGTAGCAGCGCATCACACACACATGATTTCCGTATTTTGAGATCCATGGGATTTGTACTCTTACATTATTACTACTTTATGTTATGGTTTTTGAGACACGTGACTGAGGTTTTATGAAATGATATGAATCGTTGATGTTTTTCTGTAAACTGTTTTATAAGTTACTTAATTAAAAACAAAATTTTTGGTCTTGAAAATTGGGATGTTACCGACCAATTGGTGGGTTAGGATGGAGAAAAATCATCGACAATGCAAACAACACTTTACTCTTTTTGTTGACCGGTTCTAAAAAGAATATGATTATGTTTTTTTTGTCCCTTTGGTCCCAAGAGTTTGATAAATATGGTTGTTTTTAGTCATGTAATTTAAATCATAGTTGGTAAAGGACCAACTACGAAAGAAATTTAAACCATAGGGGTCATTAGTGTAATTTAAAATAAATGGTTAATGGAGGAATGGTTAAAAACTAACGATAATGGTTTAATTAACGTGTACAGTAAAACTTAGATGACTTATTGCGCAAAAGAAAAACATAGTTCAATGTGTTATAATGACATTTTCTCAATGTTTTTTGTAATTAAAAAGTCTTGAAGCATCAACATAATTAGAACAATCGTTTTTTTTTTAATTTTTTTTATTATTTTAATAAGTTTTTTTAAAAAATAAACATTTAATCATTAGAAAATAATTTTTTTTCTTGAAATGTTACTCAAATATTTATTATTGTTTAATCTTTTATTTTTTTAAGATTATTTGAGGATTAGATTTAATAATATTTTACTTTATATCCAGTAATTAGATGTGTTAGATTCTTTTTAATAATTAACTAGGGGGTTAAGCCTTTCTTCGCAAGGGTTAGAAGTATTTGTAAGCATACAAATAAACACTATACACACTATGAAGTACTTGTAGACTATTTATAAAAATTTGAACTTTCATATTGTTTCCATTTACAAAATGGAAAAAATAAAAATAATTACAACTGTGGAAAGTTATTTTGTTGCCCTTGGAGTACAAAAAAAAACCACCATATGTGCTTGTGTCGGTTGGTGTCAAAGTAATTCGGTTGGATTTCTACTTGGTTTCATGCTAAAGTACCAAATTAAAAGAACATCTTTTTCCTAATTCAAAAGTTTACAAAAGAAAGGAATAGTTGCAAGAAAAAACAATATTCTTTAAGTTATGTTTGTATTCAGGGGCAGTTTTACGGTGGGTTCATGGTCGCACCGGCAACCCCTGACTTTTCCGGACGCAATGGAAAATTTTTCGTAATTTTTATTTTTTCTACTATCATGCAATCCCTGACTTTCCCGTGACACCCCTACTGTGAAATCTGCGTCCGTCCCTTTTTGTATTATAGCATCACACTTTTATTTCTTTCTATTGTAACATTATACTTTTCAAAAAAAATCTTATTGAGACATTGTAGTTTGTAATGTCTACCCTCAATCATTAAAGTGCATTGTTATTTATTGGAGTTAGAGGTATTTGACTTTTTAAATAGTTGTAATTAACTTTATACTGCAGAGAGCATCAATTTACTATTTTGTAGTAAAAAAATTGAGAAATAAAGTACACTGTCATTTCAAAATTTATAAAAATATTGTACTTTCAGATTAAAAAAATTGGTTGTTACTATCAAAACTGTAAACATTCCTAGTAGAACTCTCCCTTCTTTTTATCATTTTTCTGTTGCATCACCGTCATTATCTTTTTTTTCTGCATCCATTAAAACTATTAAGAATGCATTAAGATTTTTGTTGAATCACCTATAACATTAAAATGAGTAAATAAAAAGACAATAACATAGAAAATATTCGGTCTTGGCTGCAAAATTATGACAGAACCCCTTCTTTTGCAGTGTGAAGTATGAGGTCAAATAAAACACATACAAATAAGCTATAATCTGTCACCTTGGAAAGTATTTGATGTATGTTTTTGTTTCCCTATATTTTGTTGTTTATAATTTATTGCCTCATGGAAACATTTTTTTAATATTGGAGACTCAACCATGTTCCCACATTTGGTTCATCTTCGATATCACTGTTGGTTATTGAACCGAAGGTTATTTGAGTCGAGGTTATTCTTTATTGTCACATAAATGGTTACTTATTTCTCGTTTCAATACATCGTAAGCATATCCACAAACTTCTCCTTAGAATCAAGTTTGATAAATGATTGCTTTAGTGCATACTGGTCAATATATCTTATTAAACATTTCAGATTGTTCTATATATCTTATTAAACATTTTAGATTGTTCTTTGATGAAAAAGGCTTTATGAATTCTTCATTTAATTGACTAAAGTTGTATGACCATTTTTTTTATGTAGATGCATTTTTCAAATCCAAAGCTATATATTTTCTTAGAAGTGTTCTTTGTTAGACGAAAGACACCCCATGTTTAATTTTTACTTGTACGTAACTAGACGATGGTATAATCGTGTAAACATAACCGATTATAGGAGATTCAACCATGTTCCCACATATTGATTTTAAGTTGTCATCATGTGTGTCTACATGTGACTGGTAGAGGTTTATTTAACTAATAAGATTTTAACTTGATTCAGATACATGGAAGATAATTTGAGAGTAAATGAGTTTACTTATTCAATGTAATTGTCGATTTCGTAGTCTACTGATATGTCCTAATTTAATATTTCGTATGTTAATTTGTCGTTGTTCAAATCGTCTATTAATTTGTTGCCATTCACAAAATCATCAATGACATGGAAAAGTGCAAAACTAAGTGAGGTAGAATTAATTTGCAATCAAATTTTGATAATAAGAAGTTACAAAGAAAATGTTAGGAATCAGAACTAAGTAATCAAAATTCAGAATTTACAATCACTGTCCATGTTCCACATTACATTAAGGCATCCGCCTTCGATCACTATATTTCCCCGTGAAGAACTTCGTTGTTGAACACATGCTAAATGCCACACATAAAGTGTGTGTCGTCATAATGTGTGTGTATGTGTGTCTATATATATATATATATATATATATATATATATATATATATATATATATATATATATATATATGTGTGTGTGTGTGTGTATGTGTACAGAAAAAGTGTGTTGTATCCTTCATATTGTGATTAAACCTTTTTAAAAGAATTAGGAGAGTTAGGGTCACTTGGCTTTTCCAAAAGTTCCATAGCAACATGATAAAGAGAATTGGGGGAGAAGGGAAGGTTCTAGTGGGATTCGAGGTCGGATATGGTTGTGTGTTGGAGATGAATTGACCAATGACAGAAAGAGAAAAATGGATTTCGATTTGCAGGTATCCAACGACAAAAATGAACCCTAATGTCAAAGACAAATGTCGACTGTGAGAATCAGAGAATGAGAGAGATAGAAGAGGGTGGCATATCATATTTGCGGCAGGTGTCGGCAGTAGTTTTGGAGGAAAGAGGGCTGTGAAGTAGGTGATGAATTGGTTTCTCCCAAACGATTTTGGAGTCGGTGATGGAAGGGTGGGGAGGGGGGTTATGTATTAATTTTATTTCTTCTTTTGTTTTAAGTTAAAAAAAATAGAAAAATATAATAATAGGGGTATAAAAGTAATTTTAATTGTATATGGTCCAATATCATTAGAGGATCCATAATTTGACAATTGATGCACCACCAAATGTTTTTGGCCCAAATCATATTTTTTTAATAACCATAGAGATTATTTTTGCATTTTTATTTATATTTATGATTAAGCAAATATAATATTGTAATTCACCCTACATAAATGGTAGATCCATATTACCAATATGGCTTGTTGTTTATAACTCTTTTTTTCCTTTGTCGACATAAAATTTACGATTTGTCCTTATCTAGAAAGACAGCAACGCAAAAGAGGAATCATTGGTGGTTCACAGTGTTTGTAAACGAATAATTCACATAATAATTGTATTTATTGTAATATCAACTAAACTATATTATATGCATGACTTATATACGTGTAGTCACTTATGACCAAAGCAAAAAACTGTATTGGATGTTACACATGCTACACTCATTAATCATAACCATAATTAGTAATTACCATGATTCCACAATTCAACAAGAAAATATAAAAAGCAATCAAGATAATTTGATTAATCTACATGTACGTACGCCTCTAGTCCATCATTAAAGATACTAACAAAAGCCTCCATCTCAGTAGCAGAAAGACACAAACCAATCTCCAGGTCTTCGTTCGATTCTTTACAGGCAGCCATGGATATGGATCCATTAAAATCTATGGAAATTGTTTCATGCTTTTTGGGCTTCCCCCATCCAAAATCCAAATCGTAAAATTTAAGCTTTGGTGTTCCCGCAACCCCTATCCATGACGTTGGCATCATCTTGGCGAACAAATCTTCGAACGACCCAAAATCTTTCACGATTCCATCCTTATCGGTCAAGGTCTTGTGTAGACTTTCTCCAAGCAGTTTAGCAGCAGTGACGAATCCTTCCTTTCCCATTAAAAGACTAGTTTTTTCCAACGCCATTGTAAATGTAACACAATTACCAAAGTAAGCTGCAGGGATCGGTGGATCCAAACGTGCCCTACAATCGATGGTGAAACCGAATAGTTCTGCCTCATCTTTGCGTGCTTCTGCGATGCAACTCCAGATATATGCACATGCAACCGTAAAAGATGATATATATACTAACGTTGGAAGTTGGGTCGAAACCAGTTTCTTCAACCGATTCACGACACTTCGCGTCAAAGATAACTGTGGCTCGGAGTTTATCAGTTGGCCCAGAAAGGCTTTGTGGTTGATATTCTTCGTTAAAAGTTTCGACCTTTGCGTTTTTCAGATAACTTTCATCTAGTTTCGGGTACTTGACAAGTCGATCATAAACGGGTAAAGTCCCATTAGTTAAAAACAACTCATCTGTTCCGGATTGAGCAATCGATGTCCACGCCTTCAAGAAACAAAATCGGGTGCTAGCATCACCCAAGCTATGGTGATTCGTCATTCCAATAGAGAATCCGTTGTTGGGAAAAAGTGTAACTTGAACTGAGAAGACCGGGATTGTTATGAAATCGGAGACTTTAATAGTCTGTTTGAGAAGAGGTATAAGATGATAAAACTTGTCACACTCTTGTGGATGGTTATGTCACACCCCAAAACCGGAACGGCGGAATCGTTCGGAGGTGGAGGACATCATGTACAGTATCACAACAATGCATAGTAGTAAACAAGCAACAACATCATCCATTGCATTAATAATATAATTTAATACAAGTGTGTTCTGTTAAGTTTAATAGACACCAAAAGTATGAAACAAAATAAAAGATGAGTCTTGAACGAGCTCCATCTTCTCAAAACCTGGCACCGGTGCCTGTCTACTGGTGACCTGAGAATACAAGTAGGAGTGCAAACGAGCCAAGCTACTCGCGAGCTACTCGGGATCGGCTCTTTAAAAGCTCGAATCGAAACCGGTTTTAAACGAGCCCGAGCCGAGCTCAAGCTTAATATTAAGCTCGTTTAATAAACGAGCTCGAGCTCGAGCCTATGTCACTAAGCTCGATTAGGCTCGCGAGCCTAAACGAGCCTTTATATAATATAATTTATTATTATTTTCATATATTAAAATAAAAACATATTTGGGAAATTATGGATTTCGGGTATTAGTAAACGAGCTTCTTAACGAGCTTGAGCCGAGCTTAAGCTTATTTAGGCACATCAAATGAAAAACGAGCCGAGCCCGAGCCCAATCCGAGCTTGTATAATTCTTTACGAGCTCGAACCGAGCTCAGTAAAAGAAAGCTCGAATCGAGCCGAGCTCGAGCTCGAGCAGGCTCGGCTCGGGCTCGACTCGGCTCGTTTGCACCCCTAAATACAAGTTATTTTAAAAGAGTTGATCAGCTTTAAAGCTGGTGAGATCATAAGTATTTTAGTGTCATTGCTTGTATGAAAGTGTTGTAAGTATGTGATGTATAAGTTTGTAAATGTTTGTAAATGTTTGTAAATGTTTGAACTCTCCTAGAAAGCCCTATGTTTTCAACTAAAGTAGCCTTCTACCAAGGCATCAAATGTTTGTATGTCTGTTTCTTGTAAAAGTGTGAATTTTCCCAAATATGACTATCATTAACCAAAAATATAGTTTTACATTACCGTTCATTGTGTGAAGATCACAAAGTGAATGCAATGGGGAAATAATAAAGTACTGTAGTGTTGTATTAAGTAGCTACTACTGTACTAACTACCTTAAACCAATTGTTATTTAAAGTACCATGTGATATGCCTGTACCATACTACCGACTAAAAACACGACGATGAAAGACGTCGGAAGAAATGACATTTAACACCCGTAGACTTGCAAGTCCCACTGTAGCGAACGACAAGGTGTAGGATAGTCAATCCAGTATAGATCTATACATAAATTCAATGCTCTCCAATTAAGGAGACTCTGGATACAAAACGAGCCATGACAGGTGATGCCATGCCCCGTTACGTGGCTCACATAACTGTTGTAATGTACTTGTATATGTATTGTGTCTACTAGCTGTATTGTATGTTCTCTCTGTCTAGTATGTGTATGTTCTCTATGTTTCTCATAATAGTATGTTCTGTTTGTTTCTCATCACTATATGTTATGACTCATGAATTGAACTGACTCATTGTATGTTTCATTGTTCTAGTAATAATATTTGTAACTTCCTAAAACTATGCCTATTATAGTTTACTAGCAATGTGGCTTGTATAAATGAACATGTTTGTATACCTTTGCTACCCAAAGGCATTGAACTGAAAGAAGGAACTTTTGTATCTATTTACATATACATAATATATAACTAAGATTCAAACGACCTTCGGACAAACAACCGATACCCTAAGACCACAACCAAACAAGGAACAGGAGGTAGGGTGAGTTATCAATCCTAAGTCCTTTGAATCCCACTTATATAACTATATCTAAATAGATACACATTTAACAAATATATTAGTTTAAAAGTCAAAGAAGTTTTGTAAAACCTTTTGAAGAGTTTAAATAAACATTGATGACTTGTTGTCATTTCATAAAACGATTTCAAACCAGTTTGGCATAAAGAAACAAATTTGATAAAGAGTTTAACATGTAAAGGAGTTTGATAAGCATTTGAAGTAGTAGTTTGTTTGATAACACTGTTTGAAAAGTAAGAAAATCCATATGTTTGATAGTCATTAATCACATGTGATTGATATAATAACTATAATGTATCTACTTGTATTCCCCCCCCCCACCATAAAAGCATTTAAAATCATTTAAAAGGTTGATTAAGGGTATGAACTCACCTGTAGTGAGTGGTTTGGAAGAACGGATGGTATAAGATGCTAAGTGTCAAGTGAAGACTTGAGCACACACACGGATCCTATTTAACATATAATGACACATATATGTATCCAATTAGTCATTTAACAACTAATTAACCAAGTTAAGACACCCTAGGACATGGAAAACACTTTGATTCAAGTGCTAGAAGTACCAAGGGTCGCATCTAAGGGTTGTATGGCCTCTCATTGGAGTTTTCGGTCCAAATGGTTCTCGGTCTAAGTGGTTCTCGATCCAAGTAGGTTCTCGGTCCAAGTAGGTTCTCGGTCCAAATGATTAAGACCGAAAACTCAAGATATTTGGTGCATAAGGTGATTTTCAAGGGCTTTCAAGTATGTAAAGGGGGTTCTAGATTCATGACTAAGCTTTAGGAAAGGTTTAAAGTCACATTGCACCCTTCATAAGGGTTTTCGGTCTAAGGAGATGCACTAGACCGAAAACGCCTTTTGTTCTTGGATAAATGACGATTTCAAGGCCCTAAATCAAGTATCCTTACTAGATAACAAGTATAGGAGATAGATACTTACAATATGGAAGCAAAGAAGGGTGTTTTCGGCCCAAAACACTAGTGTGTGTTCTTGGTGAAATGAAGAACACTTGAAGATCTAAGAAAATGGAATGATTTCATGGATGAAATCATGTAAGATCACTAGATAATGGAAGAGATCAACTAAACAAGGAAGGAAACACTTACAATCTTGAAGATCTTGACAAAAATTCGGATGATACTTGACAGAGAATTGTTCTTGACTTGGAAATGGGAAAAAATGACTAAAAATGACTAAAAATGACTAAGTGTCATTTATATACCCTTTAGGGTTTTCGGCCCTAACACTATTTTGGGCCGAAAACTCCAAACTCTTGGAGTTTTGTGACTTAAATGTTGCACAATTAATCCTAAATTATACTTCCTCTAATTTGTTCTCTCAAGAAAATAAATATTAAAATACCCAACCGGACTTTAAACCGAGCTAAAAATTAGCAGAAAAGAATTTGACTTTTAATTGAGTGCTAGACGGTAGAGTTTGTTCAAATGGAAATTTCGGGTTGTCACATCATCCCCCCGTTAGAGAGAATTTCGTCCCGAAATTAGAGTTCAAGCAACTAAGTTATTATAAATAACTAAGTAAAAAGATGAGGATATTTAAGCTTAAACTGATCCTCGCGCTCCCAAGTGAATTCCGGTCCTCGCTTGGCGTTCCAGCAAACCTTCACTATCGGGATACGGCTTTGCTTGGTTCGTTTGACCTCTCGGTCCATGATCTCTACAGGTTCTTCCACGAAGTTGAGGCTCTCGTTGATCTCGATCTCATCGAGTGGGATTACAAGAGTCTCGTCGGACAGACACTTTTTTAAGTTCGAGACGTGGAAAGTAGAATGTACGTTACTAAGTTTGGGGGGTAGGTCGAGTCTGTAAGCTACAGGGCCGATTCTAGCGAGAATCTCGAAAAAGCCCTGCGAAACTTTTCTGTCGGTCTCTAGAGGCTTTCAATCGTCCACTAATCCGAACGATCTCCTCTATCGATTCTCTCTAACCCTAGATCGTGTATTTCATAGCTAGCTTTGAGTGTCTCAAACTGACGGGAGGCCTAGGTAATGACCTTACTCGTTGCATCCAAATGCAACTGAGCCCTGGATTTGGACGCATCGCAATATACTACAAAGTCTTCTATTCCTTTTTGGGAGGGATAGTATTGTCGCACAAGGCTCGTTTTAGCGTTTGGAACGCTTCTCCTGCTTCTCTTCCCAGTCAAAGGCCACGCCCTTCTGGGTCAAAGTTGTAAGAGGTTTCGCCATTCGGGAGAAGTTCTGAATGAACCTGCGATAGTAGCCAGCGAGGCTAGAAATTGACGAATTTCGGTAGGCGTCTTCCGTGCTGACCAGCTCTCAATGGCCTTGATTTTGGAAGGGTCCACGTATATTCCCTCTTTGCTAACCACGTGCCCCAAGAATTTGACTCTTCGGATCCAAAATTCGCATTTTGAGAACTTCGCATAGAGCTTCTCCGAACGCAGCGTTTCTAAGACTAGTCGCAGATGTTGACTATGCTCCTCCTTACTACGAGAATAGATAAGTATGTCATCGATGAAGACGATGACGAACTGATCCAAGTAAGGATGACACACCCTATTCATTAAATCCATGAATACCGCGGGCGCGTTGGTTAATCCGAACGGCATCACTACGAATTCGTAGTGCCCATAACGAGTTCGGAAGGCTGTCTTCGGGACATCCTCCCCTAGCACTCGTAGTTGGTGATATCCGGATCTTAGATCGATTTTTGAAAAGAAGTTCGCCCCTTGCAGTTGATCAAATAAATCGTCTATGCGAGGCAGAGGGTAACGATTTTTGATGGTTAGTTTGTTGAGCTCCCTGTAGTCGATGCACATACGAAACGACCCGTCTTTCTTCTTGACGAACAAGACTGGAGCTCCCCAGGGTGAGAAGCTTGGTCTTATAAAGCCCTTGCTGAGCAGTTCGTTAAGTTGACAGGACAGTTCTTGCATCTCTGCAGGTGCTAAACGATAGGGCGATTTGGCTACTGCGGTAGCCCCTGGAACTAAGTCGATCCTGAACTTGACTTGACGTTGCGAAGGTAATCCTGGGAGTTTTCTGTTCTATCTGAATCTCTTGTCTCGATCGGTTGGAAAGGAATTTGA